GCGCTGCTGCCCCTGCAGGAGCTGGAGGCCATGAGCAGATACACCAGCCCGGTGAACCCGGCCGTGTTCCCGCACCTCACCGTGGTGCTCCTGGCCATCGGCATGTTCTTCACTGCCTGGTTCTTCGTGTATCTGCCGCAGTTGGGCTGGGGAGGCCGGGCGGGGGGGCACTGTGCCGTGAGCCCGCAGCCGCCCTCATACTGCTAGTGATGGTGTTTGCCTTAACTGCCAGCTCTCAGTTACGAGGTGACTTCTACCAAGTACACGCGAGACATCTACAAGGAACTGCTCATCTCCCTGGTGGCCTCTCTGTTCATGGGCTTCGGGGTCCTGTTCCTGTTGCTGTGGGTCGGAATCTACGTGTGAGGGCCAGCCGAGGGAGCCCAGGTACAGGGTGCATGGAGTGCTGCGGCTGGATAAATATATAGCTGCAAGCTCGCTTGCTTGTTAATGCTAATTATGCATGTGTGGGTTTTCTGGAAATGTAACTTTGTGACAAGCTGGGAGAGGCTGTGCTTTACCAAACGCACCTTCTTTTGGGGGTAAATTTAGTAATATAAGAACACTCAGTATCGTGCTACCAGCTGTCCTGTGGCAGCCTCTGCAAGGCAAGTGTTTGGCTTGGGAAGCCCAACTATCTGGATGCAGCAAATCTGTGCAGATGCAGGGCTGCTCATTGCTTTTCACAGCAGTTGCATCTCTGCCAGTACTTGAACTACAAAGTGACTACTGGATAATACAGCTGAAGAGTGTTCTTGTGCATAGCCATCCTTTTCTGTGAACTATACATGCAGAATTGGGATTAATCCCCATTTGAGGCATTAAGGAATTGTATTTATCATATATTGTCTTTTGCTCAAGGATTTTTTTTTTTTGGTTTGGACCTAGTAGTACCATTTTCGAACAAATCTAATACAGAATCTGTCCCTCAGGATGTATGTGGAGCTTTCTCTTAAGCTCATTTCTACCATTTATCCCTCTAATAGGATGCAGCTTTAGTAACAGCAAGTCCGATCACAGGTCGTGCTCTAGGCGAAAACTCCCTCACTGACCTGCTTCACTTCTTGCTTGGTTCTAGGTGGGAAGCCTTGCAGAAGCTCTTTTTATATTTCTTTTATATGGCAACAACAAAACCTATGTCAGACATGGACTGTGCTCCTATCAGGTGACTTCTGCCAGCACAACAGAAAAAAACTGAATAAAACTGTTTTTGTGATGCATCTGCTTTTGGACTTGCAGTTTGTATTTTAGATTGATTCTTTTGACGCGGCTTTTCAAAACTGCTTTGATCTTTGCACAAGGTTGGTGTGCCTTGGGATGGACCGTGTATTGCAGGAGAAATCAGCTGATGAAGTATCTGATCCTCCTCTTAAGCCAGGCTCCGTGCTTCTGAGGTGACTTGGCAGCAGATGGTGGCGCTGTCAGCAGTGGCCCAGTGAACATACAGTGTGGCTTAAGTAAACCAACCATGTAGTAGGTTAGTGCAGCTCCTCAGATGCAAAGCAAGACCTGCCTACCAGATACAGCAGTCTCATAATGCTTGTGGAAAATCAGTTTTTTGGAGGAATGCTTGAGAAGAATGCTTGAACAGAATAACCTTGCAGCTGACTGTGGCCTTCAGCTAAGTAGTGAATTATTTATCTATGGGAAGTATGTTTTAATGATATTTTTGCATTTGTATCCCTGCTTTCAAAGCAGTTAGGTTTTAGACTTTGACATTCAGCAGGTAGCTTACAGAGGTAAACCATTTTGGAAGGAAGCTTATGCTGTGCAGATGTTCTTAGGTGCTTCTGCATCTGCCTCTGTCCGCAGAAGCATGAGCAGTGATAGATCCCTTTTTATATTTGTACAACAGTAAGCCACAAGTTATGACTGTTTTGATCCAGGTGGACCTCACCTGGACAATTTTGGAAACTCAAGCTGGTATTATTCAGTCTTGGTGCTTCGTGAGAAACAATTTATAATTACTGGACTCTCAGGTCAAGGGAGGAATGTAGCCAGGAGCCATCCTTGGATACAAAGCAGTATTTATATATTTATTTATATGGGTTTATTTACCTCCAGCATAAAACAAAGTCTAAATAAGCCAAACAAAAATGTGGGGAATACAGAGACTCAGCACACAAATTCAGCAAAATATAAATATAAATCAGAAAGAAAGAAGGGAAACCACACTTGTCCCCCACAAATAAAAACCAATAATCAATAATATCTGCTAAGAATGCAACTCTACAAACTCGCTGGCAATATACATTGATTAAAGCTGTGACAGCAACATTTAAACCAAACAAATTAGTGCTTTACTTTTTCTTAATTCTTGCAGTGGTGGCATAGTCTCTATTTACAGGCTTTAAGCTTTAACAGTAGGGTAGAAGGTTTGTGAATTTGCTTTTGAAACAAACTGCAGAAAAGCCAAACTTTGGAAGTTGGCCTTATTTTCACACTTGTCTTCCTTCCTGCCACAAATGTATAGAGATGAAGTTTCTAGTTTCCAGACGGACCAAAAAAAAAAAAAATTTCCCCGAGCTGCAAGGCTGGAGACATTGACTCGGAGCTCCTTCTGTCTCAGGCAGGGAAAGACCAGATGGTTAACTCTCTTGTCGCTGATTTGGGAAGAGGAGGGGGAGAACATCCTTAGTTACAGGTGAATAGGGTGGAAACATCTTCTCGGATGGTCTACACAAGCAGTTGCTTCCACAGCATTACAAAACCCTATTAAGTTCTAGTTTCTGCCTTACTTTAGTATTGCTGCCGGGTGGCTGGCACAACTGGCATATGATTTGTGGTATACTTTTAAGAGAAAAAGTACTATTGTGACATAAGACTAAAAATTGCATTCAGAATCTGACTCTTAAATATTATAGATCACCGTCAACCCACTGTCACTCTGAAACAGTTATATGTGGGTAGGACTGGGTTTTGAATTTCAGTTGTTGCCTTGTCTCACTACTTTGACTACCATTTATCATAGATGTGGGAAGCCACTGTTCTCTCATATAGTCCTATTAGCAGAAAAAGGCAATAGAGAAATTCCTGTAGCCCTGAGGCAACTGGTATCCTATGGCTCCTCATAAACCCCATGTTTATGTGTTGCAGGGATGTCTGAGACACTCTCCCATCTCCTGTTGGGCCATGACTGTTAACACATTTCTGGTGCGGTGCGCTTAGGGATCTCAGCTCACCTCAGCCACTGCTTCTGAGAACTTGGGTATCAGTTGGATGGTGGTGATTGCAGGCAGTGTTTCAGCTCTGACTCTCATAACATTGCCAACTACCTCTTCACTTGCTAAATGAAAGCACAGGCATTCAGTCCAACTCAGCAGGGGAGGGACAGCAGCAGCTGAGCCTGAGAACACTACCTCTCAGCTCAGCAGACCTAGAAGAGCAAAGATTCACTCGTCTGAATACGGGCTTGCCTCACTGGGTCACTGAGTGCCAAATGGAGAATAAAAGCTGCCAAGAAAGTTAACTTTCCAGTTTAAGGCCAAGCAAAAAGCTCAGGGCAGGTGGAAGGAAGAACTGGAAGAACATTGTGTGTCCTCTCCAGAGAGCTGCACTGGGTTTCCTTCTGAGTTGCAGACAGGAATAGAAATTCCTACTGAGTGCAGAGCTGAGCTGTTTGTGCTTAGTTACTGTCAAGCCCTAGGCCTTTTTGCTTCCCCTCTGAGCTCCCACAGTTGGGCAGAAGGCTATCCTCTAACTACATACTCACTTGATTGCCAGAAGCTCCCTGCTCATTCTGCTTCCCAACTGCCAAAGCTTAAGTGCATTTTAGTATCCAGAGCATATTAGCAATGTTTGCTATCGTAAAGGCACAGAATGGCAATGAAGACCTGACCTTGAAGCCACCCTACAAATAAAAGGTGCCGATGTCTAGTGATGACCTCAGGAATTGCAGACTTACGGCTGCTTTGTCAGGACAGTCTCAGAAAAGAAATTCTGAAATCCACCAATTCAGAATTTTGGGAACGCAAGGGAGATATAAAACTGCTTCTCAGACTAGAAAATGATGTCAAGAGATCCATCCAGGAACCATCTCTGTATCTGGCTAAAAGGTATTTGCAGCTTGTGTTTCTGGCACAGTAGAGCCAGCTGATGGTGTCGTTGGGGCATGTCAACCATGCATTTCCTCAGTGCTGGTTGAAAACAGCCTGCAACTGTCTCTACTGAACACCAGCAGCTGGGGTCCTGATTTGGTTACCCAAATCTGATTTGGTTAGATTTGCCTACTTCTAGTGACAGGACTGTTCAAGGGCTTTTGATTGATTGTTTTCTGAAATCACTTTTTGAGTTTGCTTCAGGATGGAAGAGTGGCATTTTTTCCTTCACTGCCATCTCCTTTCCCCAGAAGTGGCTGCTGTTTCCTTGAAAAAAAAAAAAAGTCTCTGAAGTATTAACATGGTAGTGGCTCAGCATCCAGGAGTGAAGATGTTTCCTTCTTTACAAGAGGTGCTGGAGCAGGATGGGGAGAAGGACACCTGGGTGCTGCTAGCTGTCAGTCTGACATGTCCCAGCACCACTGTAGGAGTCAAGCTTTAACACGGAGCTTAACAAAGGCCCCCTTTGGTTTCCTATGTGAGAAACGCATAGCTCAGTAGCGACAGACCGAAGAGGCCCTTTTTTATACAGCTTAAAAACATTAGTGGTTTAGCAAGTTAAGAATTTGTAACAGTAAAATACCCAAAATACACTTAACATAATTGCTTTTCTTTTTTTTTGAGAACAACGGTGAGAGTGAGGGCCCACAGTTCCTGTCATTTCTGCCTCTGTGGTAGGAGATAAGCCATTTTTTTTCACTGCTTGGCAGCAATTCATCAGCCAGCAGGGATGCATTCATCGTGTAGTGCAGAGAAACCAACCCACATACTTGGAACAACTCCTGTCCTGCTCTGCAGGGTGCAGCAGGTTTTGCTAGTGGTCTCTCTTTAGCACATCTGGGCAGCGGTGGTTGTGGTGACTCTACAGCCAGCGGAGCAGCTCAGCTCACTGAGAGGCCACATGCTGTGACAGAGTGGATTCCCACAACACTTAAGGCAGATAACTCTTGGGTAATTTTTCTCCCACGCACTGATGACAAGTATCCCCCCACACATGGTTTGATCTGGGCACAGCTTTAGCAGCATCTTAGTGAGGTTCTTCTGTTAATCCATCCAGACCTGTGTACTGTGGAGGTTAGGGTACAGTGAGGAGGGCAAGAGAATCTGCAGTGGTGATGTTTGCCCTTTTTCTTGCTGTCAGCAGAAAAACATGCACTTCGTGGACCCTGGGGCCTCCAGGAGTCTGTGGAATAGGGCTGACAGGGATGGCCCTGGGCCACCTCGAAGGAACAGCAACTCCAGTGTATGTCCAGGCACAGCCTTCCTTTCCAGAAGAAATTCCAGT